CACACTCTTTCCTGAAAGTAAGAGATGAGGATGACAAAGACGACAATGATAATGAAGACGAGGATGAGGGATCTGGTGATGATGAACAAGGTGAAATTTTTGAGGTGGAACAGCTTTTAGAAATTTGCTATGGAGACCCAAAGGAAAAAAACAAGCCTGGCCTTTACTTTAAGGTATTTATTCACCATGTTGGAACTCTTTGCATCCTAACTTGCCTACTTTACTGAGAACTCTTTGGTATAATAACTTGTATACTACTTCCAATGAACATCTCAAGATTTTGTAGATAAGTTAGTGTGTTTCTGTTAGTTCCTCATCACTTAATTACTATTTATGTCAAGGTACGTTGGAAGGGTTATGGCCAAGAGGAAGACACTTGGGAGCCAATAGAGGGCTTAGAGTATGAATTCCAAACTAACCAACATATTGTGAATCCATATTTTGAATTATTAATACATTTATCTAAAGTTGATATTTACCTATAGTGGTTGCCAAGAGAAAATAAAGGACTTTGTGGCCAAGGGCTTCAAAGCAAGTATTTTGCCATTGCCTGTAAGTTGCCTCTCTATCTTTGCCTAGTTTTGGATCTCTACGATATGAATTTATCTTTCTGATTGTAATGCATTTAATCTAACTTTTCTATTGGTTGTACTTAGGGGGAAGTACAGGTCATATGTGGGGGCCCTCCTTGTCAGGGAGTAAGCGGATTTAATCGATTTAGGAACTCAACGAATCCATTAGGAGATTCGAAAAATAAACAACTTGAAACATTCATGGACATTGTGGAATTCTTGAATCCACGATTCGTATTAATGGAAAACGTAGTAGATTTGGTCAAGTTCGCAGATGGATTTCTAGGAAGATATGCACTGGGTAGACTTGTTGGAATGAACTACCAAGCACGGATGGGAATGATGGTAGCCGGGGCTTATGGACTTCCACAATTTCGTAGGCGTGTCTTCATGTGGGGTGCCCTTCCTTCAGAGGTAAAAGAATAATTACTTTTATGTGTTTATTTTCTTGTTCTTCCTTGTTCTCACTTAAAGTCTCATCTCGTTTTGCAGAAATTGCCACAATATCCGTTGCCCACACACAATGTTGTTGTGAGGGGTGGAATGCCCAAAGAATTTGAGGTACTCTACTGAACTTATTATAACACCATAGATTCTTTTATATTTGCTCTTTGCTGAATATGAATATGTATTTGAATGCAGTTAAATGTTGTAGCATATGATGAGGCCTTGAAAGTCGAGCTAAAGAGAGAACTTTTTCTTAAGGATGCAATTTCAGATCTTCCTCCTGTATGTAATAGATATCAAAGTTGCCTTAAGGACATACTTCCAATTGATTAAGCATATGCCTAACATAATTGTGTTCCTTTCTTTACGGAAATGTTTTTTAATTTAGGTGGAAAATGACGAGCCAACGGACGAAATGCCTTATATTGATGAGCCCAAATCTGCCTTCCAACATTTCATAAGATCAAGGAGAAATGGTGAGTCCATTTCTCTTGGTAGTAGTATGACATAGTCTGGAGTGACTGCTTTAGTGCGATATCATTGTACCTCTTTTGGATAGTTATAGTTTCCAGATCAGCTTGTGGCACCTTAACTATTTCACCACTACCCAAGATACTAAGTCATTCCATCAAAGATTGTGCAAATAAGAAGAAATCACCTAGCTTTTTTTGTTTCTATTGGAAGTTGAACCATGATCTCGTGTTATTTTGTCTTTTTGATTGCTAGGCTACATATCTGCTGATTTTACATTGGCCATGTTGCTATCCCTTCAAAATCATTTGATATTTGCGATGCATAATAACCTGGGACGTTTCATTAGTTGTGCCCTTGGACTTGTTAATAAATGTGAAAGCTTGTAACTTTAGCTTATGTATGCCTGTTATGTGATCATGTATGATATCTTATTTTTATTCCTAGATCACCGTTTAAGTCTTATTATTCAACTTTATAATTTTCTCCTTGTATTGTGTATTCTCTGAATTAACTTTTGAATCTAATGTTAAATTATCTTTTGTCTATTCGTTCAATAGCTCTTTAGAATCTTTGCATTCGTTCGTGCATGATAATTGAACTTAATCCATTATAAGAGTAAAGTCATAAAACTAGTTTTTATGACATTAATATAACTGAACTTTACGCACTTAATAGTAAATTTGCGAAACTATTTTTTGTCATATTAAAAATAATTGATCTTTGCGCGGATCTCTCAGAAAATAAAAATGACCGGAATGTCAAATTTCTAGCACAGAATACAAATGACAATAAAAAATTCATCATGCAAAAAATTTGACTGTCCATGTTTTATGAAGCAAAAACAAATTAAAAAGGGGAAATTAATACTCAGCGCCAGAAATTTGTCCTTCTATTCATTTGTATTATCCAACCAATTCACACATAGTTTAGTTGCTTTAATGTTACAAAAGATAATTTTGTAACTTTCCTGTTATAAGGGTTAAAATTCAGTTATTTTGATGTGCTAAAATATAATTTTGTGATTTAATTGTTATAACTGGTAAAACTAGTGACATACATGAAATTAATCCTCAAAAAGTCACACCTTTTAGATGTTGGAAACATTGGCAAAAATAATAACTCTGATTCTGAAATTTTCTATCGCTTAACTAGATTTTACCTGAAATAATTCAGCATTTTACCAATGCATCTAGACCTTCAAATATGTCGGATGGTGGTGTAAGCCTTCTGTACATTTTGATAGCATTTTTATATTGTAGGGACATTAGGGTCTGTTTTGTATGATCATCGGCCCCTTCGGTTAAATGAAGATGACTATCAGCGTGTATGTCAAATTCCCAAACGGAAGGTATTACCCCTTTTACATCCTGCTATTTGTGGTAGTGATATGAACATGTCCCTAGGTTGTTGATTCCTTCTTCCATGATTATAGGGTGCAAACTTCAGGGACCTGCCTGGGGTTCGTGTTCGTGCTAACAATACTGTTGAATTGGATCCAGATGTAGAAAGAGTAAAAGTTGCTTCGGGAAAGCCTTTGGTATAATTTGCTTTTTGTGGGACTATGCTATTTTGACGTTTTTTTCCTTTCTATTTCTTATGATTTTTCAAACTCACAGGTCCCTGATTATGCCATAACTTTTGTTCGTGGTACTTCCACAAAGTAAAGATACAATGCTTTCCTAATTTGATTTAGCTTGCACTACCCTTTACCTACCATAATGGTTCTACTGTTGTCATGGTATTTGAAATTATGCAGGCCATTTGGTCGTTTATGGTGGGATGAAATTGTTCCAACAGTTGTTACAAGAGCAGAACCCCACAATCAGGTACCTTTGCCTTTGCTAGTTGTCTCAAAATAAAACATGCGCTTCTTCACTTGGTTTGTTCTGATGCCCTTTGTCGTTCTTGAGCCTCTTTCAGGTCATATTACATCCAGAGCAGGACCGAGTTCTAACTATCCGTGAAAATGCACGGCTGCAAGGTTTCCCTGACTACTACAAATTGACAGGGCCAATAAAAGAAAGGTAACTATTGAATCAAAATAGTGACCAGTTGATGGTGCATGTGTGTGATCTACTTTAGTAACTCATCCGCAAATATTTTCAGCTTACTCTTATTACGTCATTCTAAGGTCTAACAACTGCTCATGGACGTTTTTATGATATGACATGTAGAATATAATCTAGCTTGAATTGAACTCAGGAAACTAATCACTGAATATGCCAAATTTAACTTAGAGATCAGCCTATAGTTTTAAGGAACTGCTCAGATGTAGAGAGATTTATTTGAGCTGTTTTGGTCGAATGCAATTTAGCTTTCGTTATATCAACATATAAGTAGGACACTGTAAATTTTGTCTGAAAAATATCCTGCTTGAAGAGTCTAATTTCCAGAGTGAAATGTTTTTCAGTTATATAATGTTTTGCACTAGGAAATCTATAGCAACCACCTTTTAAATGCAGGGTCTGACTTGAATCTGTTTTTGTGTTTCATAGGTACATGCAAGTAGGAAATGCAGTTGCAGTACCTGTGGCTCGGGCTTTAGGGTATTCTTTAGCATTGGCATTGGAAGGATTGTCGGAAGAAAAACCCTTACTGTCACTACCACCTAATTTTCCATGTCTAGAGGAACTGGGCTCCAATGAGGAATCTATAGATTAAAATGTAACTATTTGACCATCACACAAGCTATTCACCCGTAGGAAGATCTTGGGATTGATTGTTCCAATATCAATCATTCATTGCAAAATACATCGATTTTTTGTATGTATCACTTACTGCTATATTCGTGATTCACAGTTTAGCTGCTTTGGCATAAATGAATGCACAATTTAATGATTTTGATTATTCAACATATATGCACTTATAATGTTAAGATGTAATGATTTGAAGCCTGAAGGGCTGTGACATACATTTTGCTTTGATACTTGGAGAGTAAGATGGCAACAAAAAGTGTGAAGTAAAGATTGACTTTTGAAAGCTTTTGGTTTTAAATAAAAATGTGTCAGAAATGAAACACCATTTAACTTATCCATAATCCACTTACCTGATCTGCTACTCATAACATTCACATATAGCAGGTAGACAAATTGTTATCTTGTACGCAGTATGTCCCAGCTTTCTAGAGCGTGGTGTGCTTGCTCAAAGTCTGGAGGCAATGGCAGATGTAATGTATAAGTAACAAGTTCAACTGAATCCAACATTTTCAACACAAAGTATGGATATATATATAGGTGAAAAATCTCTCAAATTTAAGAAAATATTAAAACTTGAATGCATAATTATAAAAGTTTAATGGGTTCAGTGATAAGAGTCAAGGTCGAACACACCAAATTTAAATTCTGCATATGTTTGGAGTAGATAAGTAAATACCATTAGCTTTGAGTGCTATTTATGGAGAAAATAAGGGCAATTAAATTTGGCTGAGTTTAGACAATAACAGCTACGATGAATAATCGCTATAATGTCCTACTAGTGAAGGGCAATTGAACAATAGACTCCTATACGGAGGAAAAGTTACACTTCAATATGGTATATAATGTGATATAGGGAAGACAAAGGTAAGGTATCATTCAGTTTCAAAGCCGGGCAAATTGACCATCAATTTGCAAAAACTTCTACTACAAGAGATATTAATTCATTCTGTTTGAAAAGCTCTCTATTAAATATTAATTTCATCCGCATTACAAAGGAATAACTTTAGTCTAGTAGAACAAACTCTAGCAAGTAATAAGCAGAATCATCTCTTAGCGCGTTTGTTTTTTGCAGAAACTTCACCCTTTTGGAATCCTTTGAAATCATTGGTAGTCTCAGCAGTGTTCTGCTTCTTTAAACCTTTTCTCCCACCAAATCCAAACTTGGAGTCCCTAAATTCCCTGCTTTTCCTCTTCTTGTCTGGTCCCTTCCCTTTTCCACCAAACGTTTTCCCACCAAATGCCGCCTTTCCCCCTGAACGATCTCCAGGAGATACACCAGGTCTCTTCTTATTTGATCTCTGAAACGGTTTAGTCCCATCTTCATCAAAAGGCAAATCCAGGCCGGCAGCACCCTCCTTATCGAACCCACTCTGCTGCCTCTGCTTCCTCCATTTTTTAACGGAATCAATCTCCTGCTTCTTTTGCTTTGCTCTATCTTTCATCTTCTGTGCTTGTACTTCCTTGGCCAGTTTCTTGTTCTCTCTCGCCTTCCTCCTCTCTTCAGACTCCTCCATCTTCCTCTTCTCAGCTAAGAGTCGGCCCTTAACTTTCTCCATGTGAGTGTCAGTCTTCACCATTTCCGCATAATAATCAGCCGGCCTCAGAAAAGGTTCACCCTTTGACTGAAAGCTGAGGTACATTTGGCGTGCACCATCCAACGCCTGTGTGAAGAAAGAGTGCTCTCTCGCCAAGTCATCATTCACATCCACCACTTCTTGCTCTTCCCTGTCGATGTTAAGCCTGTGACTCCAATCTAAATTATCAGGCCAACTGATATCTCCCAGCCTTTCAAGCAAACCCTCCCTGTTATATACAGCAGTCTTTGAAGGTTCAGCCAACTTCACAACTTGCTGATCTTCTTCTTCATCTCCTTCTTCCGATTCAGTTTCTGGGTCGGAATCCTCATTCTCTGGGTTCATAACGGCCAATTCATCCTCAACCATCATACACTCGACACTTTCTGATAAGAATAAAGAAAAGATAATAATAGAGTTACCAACTAACTTGTCCTATGCGAGCTTCACATCCTAGCTCAAATTGCCAGTCCCCAGCTCAAATAAAGGAGGCAGGTTGGGGATGATTGACAGCAATCATAAAACTATTAACAACCAAGTACTCTGACAAACCAACATTAACTCAACGACCATTCAGCTACACCAATTTAGATTAAATTGGTTTTTCAAATTCTCATTTATGAAAAGGGTAAGATTTGTAACCATTGTTTAGCAACTAGAATGCTCAAGTAAATGAGAAAAATTTACAGCTTTCACCCCAAGAACTGAACACTAAAAATCCAACAGAACACTAACAACATAGCAACAAAAAATTATCTTTTTTTATTTGATAAGTAACACAAATGATGCAAATAAAATAGTTTATTAGGTGAAGTTGTAGGAGTTAGCCATACTACATGGATACATGAGCTGACAATAATAACCAATTAGAATATGAGTTAACTAATTAGGTTAGCATTAGTGCTAGCTAATTAGCTAAATATTGGGCCTATAATATACACTCTTGTATTATATGTTGCAGTATGAATTTGCTCGCAAATTTTTTTTATCTTTTTAATAAACCCATATCTGTTCTTTGTTTTCTTTACCTTTTTCAATTCATATTTATAAATGATTGAAAATTATAAATTTCAACCCAGGAACTGAACACTAAAAATACACCAACAGAAATTGAACTTTACAAATTTCATCCCAGGAACTGAACACTAACAATACAACACCCAAACCCATATATTTTCTTTGTTTCTTATTTCTTTTTTCACTCTATATTTGTAAAGATTATTCTGTTTCAAGCCATAACCATAAAAGAAGCAAATAACATACAAATTAAGTGTCAAATAACCAAGACACAATAAAAAAACATAATTAAGGTTCCATAAGACAGAGAAAGAACTTACAACAAATGGAAGAATTCGAAAGAGATGAAGAGACAAAGTTCTGAGATTTTAACGAGGGTTTAGGGTTTAGTCTTAAATACAATTGGCGGGCTGAAATTTATGGGATTTTGGGCCAGAAAATATACGGGCTTGAAGGTACTTTGGGCTTTTATATTGTAACTCAAGAGGCTCAGGAATAGGCCCAGATGGCTAGATTCTCTAAATCTGATTCCAGTTTTTAATTTTTAATTTAGTTTATGCATATAAATTTATCGGAAATGGGTCAAACTACCCTCACTATTTGGCAAAGAGATTTTTACTTATCTATACCACATTATAAACTTATTTACTCATGTTAGAGAGGTTATCACTTAATTACATTATTATATACAATTTACCATTTATATACAAAATTTTATAAAGTACCATTAGAAAGGTATCTCCACCCTCGCCTTCTTTCTTGTGGGCCGCAAACTTCTCTTACTATTAAAAAGCACCATACTCTTATTATTCTAACTCAAATCAAATCAACTATCCTCAAAGCAAAACAAAGATCAAACCCTTTTTTTTTTTATCCAAATGCTAAATAACTAAATTAGTTGTACTATATAAACATAGAAGTTAGGACATTGCAATTAATTCCGTGCAATTCACTTTCTGTTTTCAAATTTTAACGCTCAGTTTCTTGTACTCTACAGATTTGTTGGTTTAATTACAGGATGCTAGCTTAATATCTCTAAGTAGATTTCTTTTAGTTTATTGAAATCAATCAACTAAATAGTATTAATGAGAAGCAAGTAGACTGAATTGGGAACCTTGTTAATCCATTAAAAACTCCATTGATAGTCATTAAAAAATTTTGAAGCTCTAAATTTGAAAATTGAAATTTGTGAAAGTGATATTTGTTTGGATTGGGTGTAGTTACAAATGATTGAGAATATTCTTTGGAGTTTATATCTAAATTTTGAGAGAATTGGATGAGGATTCAAGGTTGTTTTGGTTAGAATTTCATATTGACATTTGAAGAAGAAGACTTAAACAAGTTGTATATATTTTGTATTTCGGGTGTAGAAACGACATTCAAAATATATACAACTAATAGAATTGTATATATTTTGTATATAAACTGTACGTAAATTATAGTTTTTTTTTCGGATTCTGTAAAAAAAAAATTGAATTTAAGTTGTAGATATATTGTAGATTTTGACTGAATTTGTATATATTTTATAAAAAATATTAGTTACTTTCCGTAAATAGAAAAACTTAGACAAAATCGGGTAAATAAGTTTAAAATCTCGTATATATATACAAAAAAGTCCCTTTGGTAAATGGTTTACATTTGCCCTCCATCCATCTATCAGTCCAAAAATACACACTAATTACATTCTTTTAGTAATAACCTACGCGATAGACCAAGTGGATCTTCAAATTAATCCGTTGGCGTCTTTTAGTGTCACGACCCAAAATTTCACCTCCGGCGTCGTGATGGCACCTAGTCTCTAAGACTAGGTAAGCCGATTTCAATTATATTTCAAGCTTTTTTTTTTCTTCCTTAAATTAAATAGGTAATCAAAACTAACAGCGAAAACAAATATGAATACAACAACCACCCAAGACTGGTAATACGGGGTCACGAACTCTAACTGAATATATAGAATGATCACGAGAACCGAATATACAATACTGTTTGATTAAAAATTAATAGTACAATTGTCACTACCCGAAATTTCTACCTTCGGACCGTGATGGCGCCTAACATTTCACTTGCTAGGCAAGCCAACGTTAGAATAATATTAACCAATTTTTTTAAACAATCTTTACATTATTAATAATCAAGGAAACAAATGCGGAAGTAACGTCTGAAATATAGTGAATAATCCATAAAAATAACGGTGTCTAAATACCATCCCAGAATTGGTGTCACAAGTGTACGAGCTTCTAGAATAAATACAAATAAAGGCCTGAATAAAATAAAGCTATTTGGAAACAAACACACAACTAAAGTGAAGTAGATGGGGACTTTAGAACTGCGAACGCCGTGCAGTTATACCTCAAGTCTCCTCTGAGTAGCTGAAATTCGAGCAAGTCTATGGTACGCCGCTGAGATCAACTCCAAAATCTGCACAAGAAGTGTAGAGTATAGTATCAGTACAACTGACCCTATGTACTGGTAAGTGCTGAGCCTAACCTCGACGAAGCAGTGACGAGGCTAACGCGGGTCACTTACATTATCTGTACGCAATATTAGTAACAACAACAATAGTAGAAATAAATCAGGTAACTCATTTATAACAATTGAAGCCAACTCAGAAGTCATAACCAATTATCATTTCTATCAATTCTATTGTTGTGTACAACCCGCTCCTCCAATATATTTATTTTAATCAAGTCTGTTGCGTCGTGCAACCCGATTTCCCAATATANCAAAATTATAAGACAACAAGCATACAATAATTATGATTTTATTACGAAACAAACAAAGGCTAATAGCAATTTATTATAGAAATCAGAGAGAAAATATACAGTTTAATATTTAATATGCTAAATATCAGATAACAATTAAGACAAATAATTCAGATAGCATGTAACAATTAATGCAAGAATTCAAGAATTAATATTTGACAAAGCATATGAGAGAAATAGATATTATAACAATTAATTCATAATTTAAAATAATTTATGATTTTTCAAGTAAATACGCAAACAATTAATTTGACGACGTATAGACACTCGTCACCTCACCTATACGTCGTTCACATGCAATTCACATAACAATTAATTTTTAAGGGTTCTATTCCCTCAAGTCAAGGTTAACCACGACACTTACCTAGCTTTGCAAATTCCAATCAATTACTCAACCACAACTTTTTCTTTTAAATTTGTCTCCAAAAGCTTCAAATCTATTCACAAACAATTCGATATATTCAATACTAATCATAGGAATTAATTCCATATGAATTTACAAATTTTTCGGATAAAAATCTGAAATTTATTTAAATATTCGACAGTGGGACCCACATCTCAAATCTCGAAAAAACTTACGAAATCCGAACACCCATTCCGAGACGAGTCCAACCATACAAAAATTATCCAATTCCGATGTCAAATGGACCTTCAAATCTTAAATTTTCATTTTTGGAAGAATTTATAAAAATCTAATTTTTCTTCCATAAATTCACGGATTCATGATATAAATGAGTATGAAATCATGAAATATAATCAATATAGGATAAGGAACACTTACCCCAATGTTTTTCCGTAAAAATCGCCTTACCCGAGCTCAAAAATGGAAAAGAGTTGAAAATGGGTCGAAACCCCATTTCCAGAACTTAAGTTCTGTTTCTGGGATTTTTACCCTTCGCGAACGCGGTTAGTGCCTCGCGTTCGCGAAGAACAAATTTGTGCTGTCCAATTTTACTCTTCTCGAACGCGAGGGCTACCTCGCGAATGCGATGCTTGCCTGGCTTGGCCTTCGCGAATGCGAGCTGCCCTTCGCGAACGCGAAGGCTAATTTTCCTGGCCAACCTCTTTCCCTTCGCGAACGCAAGGCTTCGATCGTGAACGCGAAGCTTCCAGCCTCTTCGCGAATGCGAGACTCCCCTCATGAACGCGAAGAAGGAAACCAGAAGCAGGTTTCTGCAGTTTCCTCAAGTCCAAAAATGATCCGTTAATCACCCGAAATCAATCCGAGCCTTCGGGGCTCCAAACCAAACATGCACCCAAGTCCTAAAATATCATACGAACTTGCTCGCATGATCAAATCGCCAAAATAACACCAAGAACTACGAATCGGACACCAAATCAAAGGAAATTTCCAAGAAAACTTTAAAACTTATATTTTTACAACCGGACGTCCGAATCACGTCAAATCAACTCCGATTCTCACCAAATTCGGCAGACAAGTCATAAATATTATAATGGACCTATACTGGGCTCCGGAACCAAAATACGGACCCGAGGTCAATAAATCCAACTTCAGTAATTTCTTAAAAATTATTAAGCTTTCAAGCTTTTAATTTTTCATCAAAATTCCATATCTCGGGCTATGGACCTCGAAATTCGATTTCGGGCATACGCCCAAGTCCCAAATCACGATACGGACCTACCGGAATTGTCAAAACACTGATCTTGGTCCATTTGCTCAAAATGTTGACCAAAGTCAACTCAGTTGAGTTTTAAAGCTGTATTTCACATCTTAATCCATTTTTCACATAAAAACTTTCTGAAAAATTGTACGGACTGTTCACGGAAGTCGAGGAATTATACATAATGCTTTTTGAGGTCCTAGAACACAGAATTACTTATTAAATTTAAAGATAATATTTTGGGTCATCACAATAATGAAATGAAAAGACTCCAAGGGACTGCGACGACCAAGCAACTCTACTTTGAATCATTACGATCCCGCTTTAACTCTTTCCAAGTCCATTATCTCCAATACCTGGCTCTGCACAAAAATGTACAGAAGTGTAGTATGAGTATACCACGGTCGGTACCCAGTAAGTATCAAGACTAACCTCAGCGGAGACGAGGTACAGTCAAGACACTCACTAGTAAAAAAACAAACTGTGTAATATGATATACAAAATAGTAGGAAACAAATAACAATAAGGACAACACAAATCAATCAGTGAAATGCACAGCAGGACAACAAGAACACCGTTAATATTGCTCAACAAATAATAAATACAAGTACATCCAATTAAATCAAGTCTTTCAAATATAAATCTTTCGCCTATATACTTTTCAAATAATAATCTTCAGGATATAATACTTTCCAATAAATATATTTTGAATATACTCCCTTCAAATAAATATCTTTTAAATATAATTATTTCAAATAATCTTTTTCAAATATAATTCTTTCAAATAAATCTTCTTGAATAAAAATCTTTCCAAATAAATATTTTGAATATAATTCTTTCAATTAAAAAGTCACCATGTGACATCTCATTTCATAATCATACAATTACGGGTCTCAGCCTATTTTCATATTTTTTATAAACACGGGTCTCAGCCCACTTTTGTATTTCCACGGCACTTCGGGCCCATAATTAAATCATCATATTTTTCCGGCATCTCGTGTCCACTTTTCATACCACATTTGTA